TATTAATGTTAATATTATTTCGAAATTACAACAAGTCCCGCCGCCTTTAAATTTCTGGATGGAAATCGATCAAAAAAACTTATACTAATAATAATTATTATTCTCATTATAATTATGAGGATAATAAAAATAAAATTAAGAGTTGTCCTGTTATTTTGTTTATTTTAATCGAGGATGCGCATTATGCATATTGTCAAAGTAGGGACAATATTTTATTCTGCCGACTTTGGCAATTGATCCGCCATGTTGAATTCAATTCTCTTCCAATTTCAGCGCGTCCATCCGTCGTTCGAGTATGCGCGAGAAAAATCTGATGTCTTGGAAGGAAGCTAAGCAAGAGGCGAAAATGCGCGGTGCCATGGTATCCCCTGGGTCTGAGGATTTGTCTCCTGCTCCGGCAGGATTCGGAGCCAGGCTCGGAGTGGGACTCGGCAACGGGGATAGCCCGACGGGAGCAATTGGTGAGCGTCGCTCCGCGCCATCACAGCAAATCACCTCATCCAACCAAGCAGGTCAGGCGGTCGGCCAGTCGAGCTCTGGTCGAATGTCTGCAGCGCCGAGGGCCACTTTTCCGTCGGCCTCGTCGCTTCAGACCGGCACCGCTGCCTTCACCGCTCCAGGCAGCTTGGGCCCGCGACACATGATGCCGTCACCACAACCGGTACGTGGGGCGGGCCAGGCAGAGATCGGCGCGAAACTAAGGGAGGTGAGAAACTCGGCTCTGCAGTCCTCTAGCAATGTCGCTAATTTTTACTGTAACGAAGATATTTTGGTAGGACATCATGCTACTCATAAGTAATAGGTCATTTGAAGTCTTAATGTACAACTGGCCTGATTAGTTTGGTCATAACTACTTTGCGATTAGGCAGAGCTTGACGCCCCTCAGGCACATATTATTTGCAGTATTAAATGAATATTTGATTATGTTTAGCCTTCTCTCCATCAGGCCATATCACGTAGTCATTTCCTGCCTTAAAACCTTTGGGGAACTTGAGCGCTTGTCCTCACAAAACTCTTCTCAGAGTTGAGTAGGAGCACATGCTAGTGCTCAGATGCGGAAATGCGGCCTTCGTGAAAAGGCTGAAGAGCTATCAGATGTGTCGCTGTTTCCCTGTCGTGTAAAGATGCTGAATTGTCTTGGCAAGCCTAAATTTGGATTGAACAATTCGAGAGCATAAAGTAGAATTCAGTCAGGTTAAGTCGTTGAAGAAAATTAAAGGATCGCTAGTGGAGTTTTAACCACAATCGGCATATATAATCTAAGCAACAAGTCCCTCTCAATCCGTTCACTGCTGTAGGGAGGCAACCGTTTAGATTTTAGCTCCTCTTTAGTCTGCACAAACGAGGGGCACCTGGTCACCCGATTAATGTTTGCTGAGCCAAATATTGGCTGATCTAACCAGGAGACGAGGGTGGATTGCCTTTGAAAATGTGTTGAACTTTTGTTGGTTAAGCCACTTGACAGAAATTGATGGAGCCTTAACTCATTACTACAACGACAAAGATAAATTTATTTTTCAATAAATTAAAACTACACTTTAAATTTACTCTAGCGAAATCAGTTTTGTGAGGCATAGTAGGACTCGATTGGCTCATTTTCTTGTCTCTTTGTCCATGTGCACATCTTCCGATGTACTCATATATGTATGTATGTATATATGTGTGTGTATATATGTTTGTATGTTTGTATGCACGTTTGTGTGCATAACATTTAACAGATGTAAAATCCGTAATCGTCTGTCGTAGGTAAAGAACGAATTGTTAATAAACGTTCTCTTCAGAATGGTGACCATATAAGATATTTGCCCAGTGCTTGAATAAAATAACCATTTCAGTCTTTGCGTCTCTTGATACTGTCTAGCATAGGGCATAAAAGAACGGTGCCTGGTCTTAGAGGAATCGTCCGGCTCATCTTGTTGAGCAGACTCGGATTTTGCTCTAATGCATTCGACATATCTTAAGTACAACGTCTGGAAGGAGATAAGCAAGTTGCTAAGTTATGGCTCGTGCCTATAAAGATAGTTATTTTAGTAAAGAAGACAAAACAATTTTCGTTTGTCTTCGCGAAGAGTCTAAAGAACGTTGTATTCCGTTTTACATAATAATTCTTAAAGTGGTATGCGTAAATAGCTGTGTTTACTTCATCATTTATAAAATACTAATGCAAATATTTCCTCAGTTGGTACTTAATTTTAAAGAACATAGTATTTAAATCGGCTGAAATCCAAAGTTGTAGAGCTTTGCGAAGTTTTGTATGGAAATGAAATTTATTTTAAAATCTTGCTGTAACCAATTCGATAACGTTGCTTTGGAATTTGTATGAAGATATATTATTAAATTAAATGATAACACATGCGCTCCTAATTAACACGAGTTAAATTATGTTGGTCCGTCAACAATTAAGACTTGGATTCTACCAAATTAATATGGTTTTCTATGAATTACTGCCGTTGCTGATAGAAAAACACTTAGAATATTGACAAAATAGCTTAAAGCTGTTTGTAACAATGTCGAAGGAGCTTAGTAAAGTAATACGAGGCAAAATTGATATGCTGAGTGCTAAGAAATTATCCCAACGCCAAATTGCAGCCACATTAAAAAGGAGGAGGTGCATAACGCATGCTGGGAAGATTTTCTTAAACAAACTCATTTTCGTGTAAAGTAAGACCAGGCAGAGCTAAAGTGACCGCAGTATCTGAAGACCATTGTTTCAAGCTAACTTATATACAAGACAGAGCAGCATCTGCATCCAAGCTTCAAGTGAAGATAAACAAATGTTGCGATATCCAAATTAGTAACATAACACTTAAAATACGACTAAAGCTGCGGAAAAGATTAGCATGCGCAAAACAATAGTGAAATTTTATTGTGGAAGACTGTGACAAGATCTTGTTTTTAGATAAATAAAATTTTGTAGTTTATATCGAATGTATGAAGACCGAGATGCTTTAAAATTACGACCAGGTTGCGAAAACAGGGTCAAACAACTTACTTGGGGATATGAAGAGAAACTGGGCTTCGATGAATCTCCTGAGATAACATTGTTAAGGGGACCTTCATTTCGAATGAAAGTGCATGAAGAAGAGATTCGTTGGTCGATCTCACCAGATGAGGACCGATGAAACTCGTTCTACTTCAGCCGTATTCATGTTGACGCAGTCCACGAGACTTCCTGCCTCGTTTCGGGTGAAAACCTGCTGAGCTTTCGTCCATCAGTCGATGGAAATCATCAGAGCTGGGCGTCATTCGACCAACGAATCTCTTCTTTATCCACTTTCATTCGAAATGGAGATCCCCATAACAAGAACTCAGTCAGTCATGATTGCTCCAGTCTATTGAAGGCATAAGAGCTAGCAAGAACTGAGTTTTTATTAAGGAATTGCTCATATTCTCGAAACTACTTATATCCAAAGTGAGTAGATTTTCGGGACTGTCAGTAAGTCATATATATGATTTGTAATTTTTAATCTTTTGACTCGATTGAGTCTATATTAGAAGTAAGATTTAGTGTTAACGTGAGACTCTTACAAGAATGAAACCCAGCTCTGATGATTTGCATCGAATGATGGACGAAAGCTCAGCACGTTTTCACCAGAAACGAGGGGGGAAGGCTAGTTGACTGCGTCAACCTGAATATCGCATAAAAGCCAAACGGCTGCAGTTCAACGAGATCCATCCGTCCTCATCTGGTGAGATCGACCAAAGAATCTCTTCTTCATGCACTTTCATTCGAAATGAAGGTCCCCCTAACAACTTACTTGGAGTTTATAGTTAAAATCCAAAAGTTTCTATTAGGAGACGACGGCATGAAAGGTTAAAGCAACAGTGCATAAAGCCCATAGTCAAGTATGATGGGGGAAATATTCAGTTGTGAGGATTATTCGCTTATTCTGGAGTTGGTGACCTACCAAGGATCAACTACACTCTGACAAAATAAAGTGCTACTCAATTGGGCAAAGGTATGCCATCCATTCTGGATTAAAGTTCTCCAGCAGTCCAGTTATCCTGAACATACAATGAAGCTGGTTTGAATGACTTTCTCTTCGTTACATTCGCCAGAACCCAACCCCATCGGACATCTTTGGGAACATCTAAAAATGGAAACGATGAAGCATAAAATAGCATCACTTGCAATCTCAGGGATTATCAAAAAGAGTGCTGGCCTATTATGGATTCTCTAATTCGGCAAAACAATTGTAAACTCGTTACTAGACATAGTGCAAGTAGTGACTGAGGCAAAATACGCTGATACCAAATTGTTGGACATTTTGACATACATATTTGTGAAAAACTGGGCAAAATCGTTTGAAAATTATTAGCTTATTATAAATGCTGAAATAACCACAGTTATTATATATATATATATATTTATTTATATATTTATATATTTATAATTTCACATCGTATTATGTATTTAATGCAATGGGGTAAAAAAGTCTGAACTGTGGTTATT